ATTATTATTATTATTATTATTATTATTATTATTATTATTATTATTATTATTATTATTATTATTATTATTATTATTATTATTATTATTATTATTATTATTATTATTATTATTATTATTATTATTATTATTATTATTATTATTATTATTATTATTATTATTATTATTATTATTATTATTATTATTATTATTATTATTATTATTATTATTATTATTATTATTATTATTATTATTATTATTATTATTATTATTATTATTATTATTATTATTATTATTATTATTATTATTATTATTATTATTATTATTATTATTATTATTATTATTATTATTATTATTATTATTATTATTATTATTATTATTATTATTATTATTATTATTATTATTATTATTTTTTTAATTTTTTTTTCTTTTTTTTTTTTTTAATTTTTTTAATTTTTCAGCCCACCATTATGGTTCTTTGCAGTGTTGTTTCTAGTTTCTACTCTTCAATACTCACGGTGAGTGGATAAAAAGCTTCTATATTAAATGTTGCAATAAAACTTTATTCTGTTATAGTAACAATAAAAGTTGCAAGCGAAAATGGAAGCAAAACAAATGAGGCTACAAGCTCAAAAAGAAACCGAGAGAATTGCAGCAATGCAAGAACAAGCAAAGAAAAGATTTGAGAAAGACGTAATGATGATGGATCCCGAGTCAGCACCTACACTTCAGGGCAAAAAATGAATTATTGATCATCATACTTGGATCCTTGAACAACAAAAAGAAAGCATCAGTCGTGCATGCACGGAAAAATAAGTCAATATTTACAGATTCTAATAATTAGTTTCCAAGCATTCTCGTAATTCCTGTTTTATTTTGTTGTTGCCTATAGTTGGAGGGATGTTCCAACATTTTTATGCTATCATATTTTATGTTTTTAATATTTATGTTAATAATTAATACATTGTATACAAATAGACAAAATAAATAAACTACTGAAACTTACAACATAATTAAACATTATAAAATATTAAATAAGATGCGTAATCTAAAAATTAAATTAATCAAGAATTATATAAATAATGAATTAAAAAAATTGTTTTTCAACTTTTATGTTAATAAATCATATTTTATTATAATTTAATATTTAGAGAGCTATTTTATAGAGAATCAAAATGTACCCATTGGAGCAAAAAATAATTTGGAGAGTGTATAAGTGAAACCCATTTTTAGAGAGGAGTTAAGGAGGATGAATGTGAGTATGTGGCATGTGGACCCTATGGTTTGGAGAGTGGATTTGGATAGTTAACATTATGGATGCTCTAATAGATTAATTTCAAAAGAAATCAATTTGTTCATCCTAAAAGCAAATAATCAAAGCATCACAAGAATAAAAAGATTCTAATGATAGTAACTAACCCAAAATATATTTTTATTTAGAATAATTTTGGATTAGCATACAAAACATCATAACTCACAAATTTATTTATTTATTTATTGACAGAAGCTACGGCCTATAGAATATTTACTTTGAGAACGATTATTCTAATAACTATTAATTCATTCTTTCTTCACTGTGCTGATGCTGTTCAAGTGACACTGACATTCTACTAATCTACAGATACAAATTAAAGTATCTATCTAGTGACTGTTGACGATTCAAGACTTGTTCAATTATTTAGCATCAGGATTCATTAATTAGCACAAGTTGTAGCATTAGTCACTCACCCTTTGTATGCATGCATAAAAGAAGAGAAAATACTAACTTCAAAGTCAAATAAATATTATATACCCGTAATCATCAAAGAAGTAGGGGACAATCTAGAAATAAAAGTATTTTTACTTGTCTGATTTAGTTTACCAACAGTGATTAGAGGAACTCAATAAAACAACAAACTATATTAACCCACCGACCGCCGAAACCAGGCCATATTCCTTGTATAACTATTTGCTACAATGTTTGGGGACAAATAATCATTAGAGTAAAATAAATATGAGGCGACGAGATCATTTTTTAGAAGAACCGAAACCTCCAAATCCCATCAAAGCTGCAACATCAGGGTCGATCTCAGGTTCTTCCTCTACTACTGTCTTCTCTTTCTGATAAATTCATTCGGTCAGCCATTAGCAATTCACAAAAATAAGATTACAAAACCCCAAAACAATATTTTTTATTTGAAGCACTACTAACTAACCTTCTTCTCTTTCTTTTTCTCTCTACGCTGACGCTTTCTTTCCTCCTCTTCTTGTTGCTGTTTCAATATCCTTTCATCGAAATCTATGATGAGAACAGAGACAACATTACGAATAATGCAGAAATGAAACTGAAAAGAAACCTAGTAATGTATATTCTTAGGCCTCGTTTGGTTGCCAAGATAAGACTACATAATCTAATGAAACCCAATTGTTTTATTGGACCTTGGAAGGTCAAACAAAAAACATGTTTAAAAGGCAAGATAAGCCATGATAACATAATATTTGTGGCTCGACCCGGCAAGTTATTGGGGATACCAAACTCCAACTATTTAGTTAATCATGGATAATCTCCCCAACCAAACGGGGCCTTAATAAGTATGATCTAGGTTTACATTGTATAATAATATATTAGTTATTGCACCCCATTCAGTTGTGTCCTTATTAATTTGTCTGACTATGTTAACAATAAGGCCTCGTTTGGTTGACATGACTAACTAAATAATTGGACTTAATTTGATGTTTGGTATCCTCAATAAATTGCCGGGTCGACCCGCCAAAATTATATAATCATGGTTTATCTTGCCTTATCTTGGCTTATCTTGCCTTCTAATGAGTTTTTTTTGTTGGAAATTGCAAGCTCCAATAAAATAATTGGGTTTCATTAGATTATTTAATCTTATCTTGGCTAATCTTATCTTGCCAACCAAACGGGGCCTAAGGATAAACAAATAGAACAAACAGAGACAAAGTTCAGAAGTAACTAGAACATACTGGGAAGGGTTTCGTTTTCTTTTTGAAATGATGCATACATGCTTCTTTTTCAAATTTCAGATTAACATTTGCAACGTCTGATGTTGCAAAAAATATCAAAATAATACACCTTTCACGAGAACAAATAACCTTGCAATTTTTTCATATGTGATCCGCGCATGATAATTTTGCATTTCAATATTTATTACCACTTCCAAAATTGACAATATGATTCTAGAGAAACTTCCCGCTGGATGCAAAAAATGAAAACGAGAATCATGCCATATATTAATTGAAAATATTACCTTGCTCTGTAAAGCCTCCAGTATCTTTTCGCTTCTTGAGAACCTCAAAGCGGTCCTTCACCTGAGTACCAAAGTAAAGTTAGTAAACATAATCGAGTATTGTACAAATCTGATGACAGACCAAGGCTTTTCGGTGCGTAACGAGATGAAATGAGACGGTAATTCAACAAAGTAGCAGTGACAGGACAATTAAGAGGCCCGTGACTTCGAATCTCGACTGCCACCCATCAACTAAAAAGTTCAATATGCAAGGTTTCACTATAAGTGATTTCCAGCATGGGGTGTGTTTTGAATTATTAAATACACATGGCATACCTCTTACAAATAAAGCTTTTCGATGTGATTGTCAAACAAAGACTTTTCCGTTTGCGGTATACTTAGAACCGTATTTCTTGCATATGATATGACCAATTAACTTGTTATATGATTTGACTACGGCTGTTCATGGGTGGGTTTTACCCAAAAACCGAGCCATTTTCTACCCATAAATTATGGCCGATAATCATCCAACAACAACCATTAAAATCAACCACCATTTAAAGGCAGGCCCATAATTTCAGCCAATCCACGTATTGTATAGGGTCGGTTAGTAATTTCTGAAATATTTAAAATTTGGTTGACCATAACACGCGACCAATCGAAATTTTATAAAAAAAACAATAATTAGTTGGTTAATTATATAAAAAAATTATTTAACCATTCATATTTATTTGCATTTAGAAAATACACAATATTTAAGAAAAGAACTACTAAGATTAAAATTAAATAAAAAAAAAGTATTAGTGAATTACAATAAATAAATTAAAAAAAAAAAAAAAAAAACTTGCCCACCATGTTAACTGTCTAGAGGGAGAAAGTACTAGGGCTTGCTTAGCAATGATGAATTCGGTGCAGATCAGTGAGAAACATCCAGTCCTAGGCTAGCTGAGGGTGATATCAAAGCAAGGAAAACTATGCAGTACTAGAATAAGTTTCAGGACGGATTTTCAGGACTACGACTAACGTTTTGAGTTAAAATAATAGATTTAAACATAAGTAGGAAGGTAATGTATGCTCTAAGAATCAATAGAAATAATATATTAGAGACCTACCTGCTCCAAGGTTGCCCTTTCAGACCGCATAGACATACCCAAAGCTCGTTGATCTAGGAAAAGAATCAATAGATGTATCAGCAATTACGAAGCACATCCAGGAAAAGCAGCCAAAACCCCCCAAAAAAAACAAGTAACAGATAACATACGCTTCTTTCCATTTATATGGTCCAAGTAGTTTGCGGAATCTTTTACTACACATTCACAAACTGAGCAGTAGTATCCAGCCTGCAACAAAAATGACTGAAGTTATATGACTTGCATTGGAATAAGAATGGGAACTTATTGAGCATAATTGTATCATAATCTTTAAAAGATGCAGTCATCACACTTGAAACGGAAACTAATACTTCAATGTTTCCTTTGGTTGCCGATAATACAGGAACTTAATTCTAGATCGTAAGCATATGCTTTTCAATATCAGATACATAGAACCCCAACAGAAGCAAAATTTTCTGTATCTGGATGCAGAAGGTATATAACACTATAGTTTTTCTCTGTTATTACTATTTGCATGCAAGGTCAACATAATCATGTGATGTTTACCGAAACTAGTCAATGTACTGCTACTTCATCATCCCACGAAGTCGAATACATACTTTAAACACCCGCGTTTCAAAATTCCAAGTGAAGATGAAAAGGGCATTGTGGTTACGTTTCCAAGATCATACATATTTAACCCACAAAATAGACATTTCATCTAAATTTTGTTTTAAAAAATCCTCATGAAGATCAACTTAAGTACATATGAGTTTCTTATAAAAAAAAAATACATGAAATTTACTGAAAAATTAGCCTATATCCTACAACTAATCATAATTTTAATCAATCATCTCATATCCAAAGTAAACAGCTCCTAAGATGAGTGAGCTGGCAGCCAAACACTTGAGACACAAGGGGTATGTTTGATTTCATTTCCAAAACTAATTTCCAGTTCTATACTATTCATAAAACTGAGATCATGTTTGTTTCATAATTTTATCCAGAAAATCCCATTTTTTCTTATCAAATTTCTATTGAAAATACACTATTCATTAATATTCACACTCTCTCTCCTCCCATTTCTCTCTCCTCATTAATATATACACTCTCTTTCCTCCCAATTTCTCTATCACCACCACCACCACCACTACCACTACCACTACCATCCCCAAGGTCTTCTACCTGGGTGCCTTCCAAACTATCATGCAGTATATCCAGCCTCCAACAGAAGATTCAGGCAGTTCTAATAGTTTATACTTATTTGGTTAGAGCAGAGAGATTTTCGAGTGGTTTTATAATTAGGTTCAATTTCTGTTTCTGTTTTTTCATCTGCTTAATAGTGAAAAATCATGAATTTTTAGGTGATAGTTTAAGAACAAAAATACATTTCTGATGACGTCTCATGTGATTTAAGGGAGCGACATAATCCAGACCTAATTTAGACTCTAACGAGCGCTTCTCAAATTACTATACACTGTATTCTTCAGGCAACATAATGCTTGACTTGCAAGTTAGAAGGCAGGCTTCGAATGTAGATTGGAAATGACACTCGAAAGATAAAGGAACTCAAATATATAACGGCCATTCTGGTCAAGTTGTTTTATCATTAAAAGAACTCAAAGATAGAGGAACTCAAATATATTACATGGCAAGTGTGAGCGTAGTATGATTATGTATAAGTAATACGGAAAAGGCTAACAAAAATTATCAAATCAATTAATAAAGACCCAATACGAAAGAAATTCGAATTTGAATCTTAGTTGTCCAACAAAACCAGACTAATGTAGGCATATTAAGATGAAAAAAAACGTAGACCAATTATCAATTTATCATCTAAGAGTCATTCAAACAAATTTCTTTTGCACTTCCTTCCATCAAGACAATCACGTTTTTTAATACGAAATCAATCTAGATAAATAAAAATTCACAAACAAATCAAACTCCCAAACGTTAAATGAACACAAAAAGAGGTCCACTCTAAATATGACTCTTACAGCCACTCAACATCTTACGAGCACTAAGTACTTATAATTTCACTAGATACTTATCCCCTCATAAGATAATTCTTGCAGCCCATAGCATGGTTTCATACATAAAGTGCTTAAAATTTGCTTAAGATCCTCATCATGTAGCATATCATATTAGAACCATAACACAAACAATAGCTCCTTCCTGACTTTAACATGTTTCACTTTAAATTCATTCGAAGTTGCATCGACTTTTGTAAAAAGATCAAAAGCATCTTTTCAAATACTAGGGTCCTATTACCACAGAAGAAAAAAAAATATAGCGAAACTAACAAAATAGAATTATCAATACCTGCTGACTAAGTGGTGCAATTGGAGTCACAACCTACAAAAGAAACACATAAAATCATTAATGCATCAATACAAATTCATATGAATGTGCTTATACAAGATTACAGAATAAAGAACAAACAAAAGCAATACAATGGAAATTTTACTGCTGAAAAACAATATAACCAAATAAAAACAGTATAACCTTACAAATCAACTAGTTCATCTCTTAAAACTATTTTCTATGCTTTTAGTCAATAAACATCGTATAATTGCGGTATATGCAGAAAATAGTGAACATTTAGTAGCAGATGTATAACTTAAAACAGAGGAACTGATCCCGATTCCAGTTGTATTAATTGATGCTAAAGCCAGACCTTTACTCTTTCTTCTTCTACAATCTTGATTCGTTATGATCTCTTAATCAAAATAATTCTCAATCTAAGCCCGGAATTTCAGCTTTAAAACTACAAATCCGAGAGGACGAATCCTCAACCACTCATTGTGGAAAGCTCCTAATGAATTGAATATGTTCATACATCGCAACAACCAATCAATAGATATTTAATATAACTCGAATTAAACAATCAGGTGTAAAATAATTTCACCTAGTTCATTCATCAGTAGCGCAATGATAGTATAACATAAATACCATTACATGCAAACAGTTAGTCTGCTAATGGTAAGTATTTCAAAATTGCCAAACGAGGAGCTAACCTGAGTCTTCCCCAATCGTGATTCAAGATCCACTTCATAATCTCTGTGCTTCAATGGTTTCCTTTGCACTGGCGGACCACTTGCTGCACCAAAACACACTCACTTGATCATTTACGCAATATTCGTTTGGTTGGGGAGATTAGCCATGATTAACTAAATAGTTGGACTTTGTTGGATGTTTGGTATCCCCAATAACTTGCCGCAAATATTATGTTTTCATGGCTTATCTTGCCTTACCACCAAGGTCCAATAAAACAATTGGGTTTCATTAAACTATTTAGTCTTATCTTGGAACCAAACGAGACCTAACAGTATTTACGAACCAAGAAATACAAACTACACAATTGGAAGCAGAAAAAATATCTCACATTTTGTTCTTTTCCCAGCCTCCGCCTCCTAAAGAAAAGAACAAAAATACCCAAAATCAGGACAGAGCAAAATACAAAATTTGAGAAGCAAAAATCAAATTGAGGTCAGACCTTCTCTTCGCGCGCGCGAGCTCGTTGCAAATACTCCTCTCTGTCAAACTTTTTTCGAAATGTGTTGTCAACTCCACCACCCTGCGCATACAGCACCGAAATTCCGCCATTAAAATTCAGATACCATCAACTAAACATGAATATGTAAAGGAGCTCTACTTACGGAGTTGCTGGGTTGAGCCATTTTTGCAGCTCTTTCTTTCAATTTACACTAAAATCTGCCTGCACCAAGTATCAATTTGTGCGGAAACTAAATTATGGAAGAAGAACCGATCGGGTTGAAGAAACACAGATTGAAAATTTAGGGAAATTGGGAGACAGAAATTGAGCCCTAGGTTTTTTAATTGGGGAATTGGACACTAGTTGCAGGGTTTTCTTTTTTCTTTTTTCCTTTTTTTTTCCTTGTAGTTGTGTGAGTAAAACAATTATGACCCTATTTTTATGCACTAAGCCAATTTCGCCTCTTTTGACAGGCTCGAGCTCGAGTCTATCAAACTCATTTTACTTCTTTTTTTTTTATATTTTTAATTATTATTTTATAATTATTAAAATTATTTTAAAAAAATTAACAAAAGAAACAATAAATTATAATTATATAATATTTTTTAAATTTATATTTTATTTTTATTTATATTTATAATATTTTATATTATTATACATTATTTTAAATCAACAATAATATATAAAAATAATAATAATAATAAATAACGCTCGTAAGATCATGAACAATTAAAAACTGGCTTCAGCTCGAGCTCGAAAAACTCGAGTCCGAGTTCGAGCTTTTTTCGAGCCGGCTCATCGAGCTCACGAGTCGGCTCGGCTCGTTTACCACCTTTACTAAGCCCTGATTTGTTTACCTATATTATAAATATGGGTAAATTACAACCACCCTCTTAAGGTATGGTCAATTTTCGAAAAACCCCCTCATGTTTGGGTAATTACAACCACCCCATCAACTATAAATCTTCTTACACGTCCACCCTTGCGGTTTCAAAATTAGTGGAATCTTCGAGATTATATGGAATATTATCACTTGTGTACCCGTTTTATCACTTCTATCTCCACATTTTAAAGCAAGATGACCATAATATGTGTTTTTTGGCTTGTATATATCATATTGTGGAGCATCAGAAACTGTATTTTTACACAAAATGAGTACAAACTAGAGCAGATTCCACTAAATCTAGATTATTATGTTGATAAGGGTGGAGGTATAAGAAAAAAATCAGAGTTGAGGGGTAGATGTAATTATCCAAACAAGAGGGGTTTTTTCGTAAATTGACCATACATCAGGGGGTGGTTGTAATTTACCCTATAAATATAGATGGATTGGATTAAATTAGAGGTTTGTATCCATAAATCCCAAGTGCATACATAAAATGCGAGTCAGTCCCCAGTCACGTTTCACAAATAAGTCAATCTCTACAGCAAACATAAACATGCACTTCAGTCTCTAGCCCACCTTATTTCACTTTATACACTCTCTCCCCTCTCTCATTTCTCCTCTTTCCTCCCTTTCTTCTCTTCTTTTTTTATCTCATCTCTCTTTCCTCATATTCTCTGACCTCTATTATTACTTCCTCTTCCCCGACCGCGAAAAAAAACTGAAATTTCCCACAATGGCAGCAAATGGTAAATCAAACCCCCTCCGCACTGGTATTCTTGGAAGTTGCTGGCTACCAAGATTATCTGCACATCATTTCCGTTAAGAATGATTCGCCTCTAAGGGAGATCTATGAGTCTGTCATAAGAAAGTGGGACGATATCCATCTTGACAAATTGGTGCTCCAATACTTGGCTCCTCGTGAAAGATGTTTGTCACACTGACCTGTGACGAAGACGTGGTGAATATGGTTACATTGCATTTGATAATGCACATGAGTGTGGTCGATATTGTGGTGAGCCGCAGTGATGAACCAAATAAGCGTAGAAAGAGGGTTCGAGCTGAAAACTGATATGTCCCCATTCTTTTTTGTATGCATTTTTAATTTGTTTTTGTGATCATAGCATAGAATATAATACTTACTAGTATCGTGTTAATATAGTGATAGTGAGGAATAACTACGCTCGTAGTATCACATAAGGATACTGATAGTATGGAATGATTGTACGTCTAGTATCTTAGAAATGGAGTTCTTGTATGCAAGCATTCCACTCAAAGTACTTATTTCAATTGTTACAATTTATTTGTGGTCCACAGTAATAATCCAATTTGTTTAATTGTTTTTGCATTTTCAAGTGAGGTTGTTAATTCGAACAGTATATTACAATTTGAATTCAATATGCTCGGAGATTCAATTGATGCATGGAGACATTGCATACGTGGGTAGAATCAAATTTTCAGAGATGCTAATTATTTTAGGTTTATGCTAAAAAACTATTGCATTGCTAATAATCGAACCTTTAAATACAAGAAAAATGATCAACAAAAGATCATAGCCGTATCCATTGTTGAAAATTGCAAATGGAGGGTTTATGCATCAATTCATAAATCAGACAAGTTATACGGCACTCGCAAATGTATTCGTGAGCACTGTTGTGGTGATGGTCTTCGTACAAGGGGTCATCCCAAAGCCGATGCTACATGGGTTTTGCAACTTATGAAACATCAATTGAGAGCTCAGCCAGGTTACAGACCAATTACTATGTTAAATGATGTCCAAAGAAAGTATGATGTGGAGCTTAAGTACTATACGACATGGAGAGGTAAGGAAAAAGCAATGTATGACATTCATGGGGATGAGTCGAGTTGTTATGATAAATTGAGACGTTATTGTCGTGCATTAAAAATGCATAACCCTGGTAGTTGTGATGATTATGAGATTGACCCTCAAACTCAAAAGTATCTTCTGTTTTTTATTAGTTTTGTAAATTCTATTTTGGGTTTCCACCGTGGGTGTAGGCAAATGATATGTTTGAATGGGACTCATATTAAAAATAAGTACCACTAAAAAAAAAGTGTTTTATGTGACAATTTCTTGTGACGAAAAATAATTTCGTCACATTTGCATGAGGATCTTACGACGAAACTCAATTTTGTCACATAAATGAAAATTTGATGTGACGAAAGTTAATTTCGTCACGTGAACTCTATTTTATGCGTCCCGTGAAGTCTATGTTTTGACCATTGACGTGCCCTGTTTTGCGACAACATCTAATTTTCTAATGACAAAAGATTTCGTCATAATCTTGTTTTTTTCATGACAAAATTAATTTCGTCACTAGAAAAGAGGCATCTATACATTCTATTTCATTCCTAATATCCCCCCATTTTTCAGCATGAACCACTTTTTTCTACTTCACTCTCATTTTCTTCTATTTTCCCTTCTCTTTCTACCATCTTCCATATTCTGTTCTCGTGTGAATCGCCACACCGTGAACCTTCTGTCGCGCCTCCGCCACCACCAATCCCTTGTTTCGATTCTTTCGATTCTGGTACAGTATCTAACTTCTCCCCTTCTCCCCTTCTCTCCCTCTCTCTATCTTTGTCGATTTCCCTCTCCCTTCCTTCGATCGAATGATAAGGCTTTTGTTGAAAAGGTCCAAAATTAGTTTCTTCATCTCAAAATTAAATTAAACCGTTATATGATTTAATGTGAAGGTTTTTTGATATTTGGAATTAAGTTGGGTTTTCAGGTACGGAATCGCCGCACCGTCAACCCTCTCTCACGCCTCCACCACCACCGTGATCTTGTTCCATTTAGGTGTGGGATCTAAGTTCTCTTTCTCCCTTCATGTTTGTTGATTTCCCTCTCCCGTTGAATATATATATATATTTATATATATATATATATATATATATATATATATATATATATATATATATATGGTGATATAACCTTTTTTCTGGAGGCCCAATTCTTTTCCTTTTTTTTTCTCATTTAATGTTAAAACTGTGTCTTTTCAATCTACCGGTCCAATCAGACTTTGCAAATCTTTTCTTTTTCATTTAATTTTGAAGCAGCTCGACGACGACACGCCTGCTTGATTTTTCTTTTTCTTTTATTCCGCGCGCTGCAAAACGACGCCGTTTGGCCAACAATTGTTGACTTCCTCCGCCGCCTCGTTCGATGCCCGTCGCCGCTTCGTTCGATGCCCGCCGTCGCCGCTTCGTTCGATGCCGACCGCCATTGCCACCAACGTCACTTCCCACCGCATTTTTCCTCCAACGGCAGGCGTCTCCACTTTCGATCACATCCGAAATTGGATTTTACTTTTCAATATATCATATCAAAGAGTCGCCCTTCCGCAGATTTCTTCTTCGATTCTCTCCTCCGTCGTCGTTCCACCATGACTCATATCCTTCCGTAACTATTTTCTTTAACTTTTTTTTGTTTATGCATAATTAGTATGAATATTTTCATTTCTTAGATCTTTAATTTTTTCTTGATTATATTTATATATATAAAAAATATTAATTAAAACCCATGTTTTGATTTTCCCTTTCTTTCTGAAAGTAATTTCTTCTCGTAGAACTCAATTGAATTTAGTGCGTATGTGTGTGTTTTCTGGCTCTGTTGTGTGCATATGTCTTGTATGTATTTCTTAACCGAAATAAACGTGGAAGTCAAAGAGACCGTCACAGAGAAAGGGCTAATGCTCGCACCACCGGCAAAGGAAAGGGTAAAGATGATGGCTTCACCCCTGAACAACGCCGTGAAAGGTAACGGCCGTTTTCTTTTAATTTTTTCCTCTGGTGCCTCGTTTGGTTGGGGAGATTAACTAAATAATTGGACTTAGTTTGACGTATGATATTCCTAATAACTTGTCGGGTCCACTCGTAGATGTTATGTTGTCGTGTCTTATCTTGCCTTATTTATTTGTCGCTTCACAGAAAATTCCCAAGATGTGATTTTTTATTCCTCATCGTCTACATCTTTTACAAGCCATTAAACTCGTTTTATGAATAAAGAGTATAAAGGGTCTGTTTTATTTAATAATGTGATAACGTTTTAATTTACTTTTGGATGACACAGGCAGTAAAGAATGCAGCACAGGCAGCGTCGAGTTAAAGGATAATTCAAGTGGAATGTCCGTGCAGAAAGACAAGGTGAGTTTACAAACTGATTGCTGCCTTACCCCTTAGTGCCAGAAGTTTCTTTGCATGCTAATAGAGGATGTTTAATATAAGAGATGCGAGAAGAGACGATTATGGAGAAATTTAACACGAATAAAAATTCGGGTTATTACATAAATAGATTATTCAAATATCACAGAGGGAAATGAACATCAAATATTAGGATCATGAATGGGTAACAAAGATGCTCTGCTCGTGCTATGTATTGGAGATATTAATATTAAATGATATATTTCACTAATAGCTTAAGCTTTTGGTTGAGATGGTCATTCAACATGGTATCAGAGCGAGGCCAAATGAAAGGTCCTCATGATTTCGAATCCCATAGCCACCCATTTAAAAATATTTCAAGTGCAATTCTTCAAATGTAATTCCCATGGGAGATGAATCGAAATTAACACAAATCACTGTAACTAAAAACAAACTATGGTTTTGAATTAATATTAAAAGAAAAACAAAACATCAATCCATGCATAGCAAAGAAAGAAGAAAAACATGTTGTAATATTGATAAGAATATATAGCTAATTAAATTAAATTCAACAGTTGAAAACTCGAATAAAATAAAACCCTAATTCGGAATAAAAACCTAAATCTTGAATAACAATCAATCCTCATCAGATTCAACACCTTCTTCGTGGGCCCATTGGTGCTCCCGCATAACCGCCTCTTCCTCCTCCGGCGTATAATCATTTTCAATGCCAAAAAGTTTCCTCACCGTCCCCATTCTTTTATTCATTATAAATTTAGCAATATTTGTGGGAATTAAATTCTTTGTCCGAAAAAAATTCCGTGTCGAGCTCGTCTTTCTCTTTCTCAGAGGAAGGATCAAGTACGTAGTGCTGCGTGTTTCTTGAGGTATGTAATAACCCATGACAGGGTTTCTGCGTCGACTTCTTCGAGCGGGATAACGCCACCTGCGCAGCCGTCTTCCACCATGTTCTTGATTGTGACCGATAAAACAGCGACAATTTCGGGGACCTCAATTACTTCTCCATCGTAGCTTTTTAGTGTTATTATTGTTTCGGGTTTGTTGTCGTTTTCTTGAGGAGATGCCATGAATTAATCAGATCGTAGGTTTTTTCTTATTAGGAAGATAAAAAAAAAAAAAAGAAAAGAAAAAAAAAATATGCGATGAAGAAGAAAGTTGTGCTAGCTATGTGTGTTATTTATAGGGATATTGTTTGGGTAGTTAGTTTTGTGATTGGATTAGGAAAACATCGGGCTGTGCATGGATCGGTTTTAACCACCAACCAACTCATTTTCGACCCATAATTTGTGATGGTTGATCAACCATCAACCGACCCATCTAAGTTGGATCGATAATGGTTTCTAATATGCTAAAAAGTTGGTTAGTCGGGTAATATCGGCCAACCAACTTTATTTATTAATTTATTATTTATTAATTTTATTAAAATATTTAATATTTTTAATTTCAAATTTCTATTTTATATCACATTTATTAAATTGTTTAATATTGACCAAAATCCTAAAAGCAATAAACCTAACCTAATTATCTAATTTGAACTATTTTAATTTTAAGACATAGCCTAAATATTTGGACGATTATTAATTGTTGAACTATTTATGTTTAATTGCAATACATATGCCCGTATTGTTTTGAATCTTTTATTTGAATATTGTTGAACTAGTCACATTTAATTTATAAAAGATATAACGTTGTGACAACTAATAAAATATTAAAAAAAAATTAAAAAATATTTAGATGGATGACCCATCAACCAAACGGTTTTCAACCATCACCCAATCCATGTAAATTGGGTTGATAACGGTTCCCAATATTTACCAAAGTTGGTTGGATAGGATGGGTTGGGTTGGTTTTATGACTGGTTTTTAACCAAACCAACCAACGCACAACCCTAGTAAAACATGTGGAGTATTTACGAATTACATGCACTGGGATAAAAGTCTAGAATTTTCCTGATTGAAGACTAGTAGCCAACTAGATTATATATATATTACTACTATAACTACTATATAAGAGCCGTGTGGCTGCAGGTCCACTCTCCAATTTATTTTTCCTTTTATTTATTTAGTTAAATTAAAGAACACCATCGTTACATCAGAAGAAATATATTAAAATATATTATTTAATTTATTCAATGAATATTTTGATGCATGGTGATCAACCATGTTTGGGTGATGGAGCATGAGCATGGTGGTGGCCTTGTTTAGGAGCATGTGCATGAGCGTGGTGGTGGTGGGGAGCGGGAGCATGAGCGTGGTGGTTGCCGCCTTCGTGGTGGTGGTGGGGAGCAGGTGCATGGGCATAACTATCAGCGATATGACCATGGTGGTGGCTTGGTTTAGGAGCATGAGCATGAGCGTGGTGGTGGGGTGGAGCATGAACATGGTGGTTGCCGCCTTGGTGGTGGTGGTGGGGAGCATGTGCGTGGTGGTTGCCGCCTTCGTGGTGGTGGTGGGGCGCATGTGCGTGGTGGTTATGAGCCGGTGAAGCATGACCGGCGTGGTGGTTGTGTGGAGCATGTGCGTGGTGGTTATGAGCCGGGGGAGCATGTGCGTGGTGGTTGTGAGCCGGTGAAGCATGGCCGCCAGCGTGGTGGTGGTGGTGGTGGGGAGCATGTGCGTGGTGGTTATGAGGCGGCGAAGCATGGTCGGCGGGGCGGTGGTGTTTCAACAGCTCTTCCTCATCTACGTTTCGAGCGAGAGAAGGTGTGAGCAGGACCAGAAGACCTAGGACCAACATAAGAGAGTTGAACAATTTCGACATTATTTCAAAGTTTTTTTTCTTTTAATTTCTTTTTCTTTTTTGTGATGCAATGTGAGAATTATAACTTGGGCAAATATATATAGGGACGAAGGATTTGTGGAAATTAAAATTGAGAGTATTGCATTTGCTCAATATTTGCCTTGATTAATATATGACAATCTTGAATTATTAAATGTTCATACAAATTTGGCCTTTCCAATAATTTGAGGTTATTAAAATTAATGATGACATAAATCTCTATTGCATCAGTATTTGAGTCCCGAATCCATTACTAATAAATATTAAGTATCCGTTTGATAGAATTAAGTGCTTAGTGATGAATGCTGAATAAATCTTTGAATGGGTAAGCTGTGTCTGATTGCTGAATGCTGAATAATTAAGTTCATTTGATAATTGAATATCAGTAACGTCTGAATATTATAATTTTCCTAACATACCTTTGTATAATTCTGAAACATTATTAGTAATTAAATTTGATTAAAATATATGAATAAACATACTTTTTAAGCATGATCTACTTAATCAGTAAATTATAAAAATTTAACGGACATTACATATCTTTTTATAAACTTATAATATCTAACATAGACAAAATATAACTTTCAAATTTCAAATTCAAAAAACTAATAAAAATAAAAGTCAAAAATAAAAGCAGAGAAAATATAAAAATACATTAAAGTCATTAAATTGGCTCAAAAATATTAATCCCTAAAATTAACGTGAAAAAAATTAATAAATTATAATTGCTCCTGGTCCCTCCAGGCATCAACCGGATTGATATTTCATAGCGCACATTTGCCATGTATTACATGTCTTCGTCCCCCCACCATGGTCCAGTAGTTGTACCATCATTCACAAGGTTTTGCTCATCCTCATTCGTACCATCAAATGGCATATTAGGTTGATCAAACTCCTCAAAAAGTATATCACTTATACGCTCTTTCCTTATAAAATTATGAACCGCAAAACAAGCAATCACTATATTTCTCTGCACACTAAACGAAAAAGGGGCCATTTTTTGTAAAATTGAAAATCTTTTCTTCAGAACTCCATAAGCTCGTTCGATGACATTACTTAGTTGAGCATGTGCATGGTTAAATCTTTCTTCTTTGGTTAAAGGACACCTACGACGATAATCTCCTAACCAATATCGTACATTACGGTATGGAACCATAAATCCTAGGGGTGAGTTCGGGACGGGATTTCGGGAATTCGGGATTTTCGGGATCGGGATTTCGGGATTCAGGATAGAAATTTTAAATCCCAATCCCGTCCCAAACTATTAAATCCCGTTTATATCGGTATCCCTAAATATTTCGGGAATCGGGATTGGGATCGGGAAATCCCATATTTTGCCTAAAAACTAAGAAATATTGCATTTTTTTTCCAGGTGGAGGCCATGGAAACCCGTTTCTTGGATCAGCAACTGTATCCGTTAAGACTCTTGAATCATGTGTTACCCCTTCCCAGCCTGTCCAAACGAACGTAAAAATCATATTAAAGTCGCATATTCCTAAAATATTTTGATAACATTCTCCCTTTCCTCTACCTCTACACATAGTCTGTTGTGAAATTGGAATAATGGCAGGTATTAATGTTCCATCAAGTGCACCAACTGCTCCCTACATTTAAATAAAATAAAAAAAATTATGCAAACATTAGAAAACTTACAAATCTAAAGCAATAAAATAATGACAAAAAAATATGCAATGCATAAAAATATCTACCTTAAAAATGCTGTTTAATATCCTAAAACTTGCTGAAATGTTTGGATTTGGATAAAATGTTGTGGGTACTATTACCTCCCTTGCCATATTCATCATTGCACGCAACACTTCGTGAAAACATGCATGAACTGTTTGTGAAGAGTGTTGAAATCTACGCTTCACCACACGAAGACGCTTACTATGCCCAATAATCTGCAAGAACATTGCCATTTTTTCTTCTACAGATATATGTTTACTATCATGTAGCCACCCTCTTTGTCTAAAATGCATGCTCAAACGAATATACGCAATACGAGACATGCGCATTAAATCCATACATTGTGTGTCTGACCCAAACAATAGCTCTAACGTGTAAGCATGACCCGACAATGCTGAGTTGTTATCTATATTTCTTGGTACACGCATTAAATGTCTCGGTCGAATTTGTGTGTACCAATAGATCATCATCAATATCATAATCTCATAAATTTACATATTTAACTTGTTAACATAAATGAATAATACATTAAATATTTGAGAATCAACATTTCTTAAGCACATAATTAAATCATAAAGAGAATTCAACTCACAAGGCAAATATAAAACAAAGTCTATCATTATTAAATACCAAAAAAATGCAAAGTTCATAACTATTGTACGGAAATTAAAACAAATTCATTAAAAGTAAATACTATTGAAGGCTTAAAATTAATCTACATAAGTCCTTGCATGTTAAAATTCGAATCCCATGTTTTGTCCAATTCTTTTAATCCATGCTTTCAGAACACCCACATTATCCTTAGGAAACACCATCCAAGCTTCTCTATGTCGCAACAACTACCAAATATCACAACAACAGAGACATAAAAGATGTCTTCTTTATCCCATCCAAGTTCATCCAATTTAGCAATGCAATTTGTAACTGACGGTCCACTATTATTTTTTATCATAAACTTCAAAGCAGCTGACATCTTGTACTAAATTATTATCACTAGACGAATGTTGGATCTTTTTCTTTTTCTTTTTAGGGTTTTCTCCTCGTGAGTGATGGTTGGAATCATTACCCTGAGTGTTTGTGGCCGGGACAAAATTTTCATCTTCATCACCAAATAAAATATCTCCTATGTCATATTGTTCCGCATTTCGAACAGTTGAAGAAAATGAGCTAGTACCAGGATTTGGATCATGGGAACTAGGTCCCCAAGAATGAATCTCTGTAGCAGTGGTTCCATCAAATAGTGCTCTACAAAGGTCAGGATACGGTAAGGGGGCAAGTCTTAAACTCCTTGCCTTAGGATGAGCCTGTATTTAGATATGAAATAATAATTCTTAATATAGTGGAATAGTTAATGAAAATTACTGAGATAATGCAGTGAAGAACTTAAACACTAAACATTTATATACTCTGTCCACTCATCCTTTGTCATGTTGATGGTGTTGGTCGCGTGATTGTAAATATTGCTTGTTTTCATAGTTAACGGTAACCAAGCTTGATATTTTTATTTTAAGTAGTCGTATATATTCTTCATTTGTCTTTGAGAAACTACAAAATTATAATTTTTCTTGAGAGTATCCATAATCTTGGTCCAAGATTCAGCCTTAAGGCTTCCTCCTTCCCTGCCATTTAGAGCAACTTCTTGGATACACGATTCGAGAAAACATTTATCTACTTCAGTATTGTTCCATCTGACTCTATTATTTTCCTCTGATTCTTCCATTCCTATACTCATGGATATTTATGCGCAAAAGGAAAATTTAAACCAATATACAGTATCACATATCATTACTACAAACAACCGACAAACTACCGACAAACAAGAAAAAGGTGAATAGACAAACTACCGACAAACAAGAAAATTTAAACCAATAGATAGTATTCACTCTTGAATTATAAGAGTTCAATTTTTCTACCATCCTAATTCAATAAAAGATGAATAGACAAAAATAATTTGCATTATAATGAACCCAAATTTTTTAATGAAAGAAAAAGATGTGTACACAAATAAAGCTATTGTGGGAGCATCCTGTTTAGTCAAGCATGCTGCTTGTTAATGTACATTCTTAGGAAATAAGTTAGGGATTTGATTTGATATACTTTACATAAGTTAGGGATTTGATTTGATATACTTTACATAAGTTAGGAGATTTGATTTCATTGTAATTGGTAATTTCCTTGTATAGCTTTCTCTCTATGTGTATAAATAGTGCCTCCTATGGAGAAGAATAAACATCAATTTTTTATCCTCAATTCTATTAACATGGTATCAGAGCCAATCTCTGATCTTCTAGCAATTTTTGGTTTCCCTGTGGTGTTTTCATCTTCTTCGTTTCTCGCTTCCGCCGAAACACCATAAAACCACTATTCTGCGTGCGTCATCGCTCCGATTCAGATTCTGATCATACCACCAAGATCGTCATTAAACGATCTACTCATCGGTGAAAATCAGACTGCCATCGGAGACCGCACGCACCCTCACGCGCCCCGAGAAGGTTCTGCGCACAGTTTCACTATATCTCATATGGGTTACTCTGCCAGTTGTTATGATTCTGCCTTATTTCTCCGTCGTACTGACAAAGGCTCCATCTTCCTCCTCTTATATGTGGATGATATGATCATAACTGGTGATGATCCTAGTGGAATTCAAGAATTGAAGGATTTTCTGAGTCATCGTGATTTGGTCTACAACCTCAAGTTGGTTTGTCACCCTCCTTGAGGTTGAGGGGGGCTGTTAATGTACATTCTTAGGAAATAAGTTAGGGATTTGATTTGATATACTTTACATAAGTTAGGGATTTGATTTGATATACTTTACATAAGTTAGGAGATTTGATTTCATTGTAATTGGTAATTTCCTTGTATAGCTTTCTCTCTATGTGTATAAATAGTGCCTCCTATGGAGAAGAATAAACATCAATTTTTTATCCTCAATTCTATTAACACTGCTTTCGTTTTTTTTTTTCTTTTTGGAATGTTCTTCTTAAAGACGTTGATGGGTGCTGCAATTAAAAAAATAATTAATATATCCTATTTGATCACTAATCTCTTGAATCAATATTCTAATCTTCAGCCTTCTCCAAAAGAAAAGAAAATTAAAATTTTATCTTACCTGACCCATTTCCCATATCGGAGTGCACGTTAGCAGGTAATAATTAAATAAAAAATAGTTGAATAACTTTAATCTGAAGTACATAGAATTCAATAGGAAATCAACTCTTTCAAGAAAACATACAGTTGAGGTTTTTCTGAAAATTTGGATCACTCTCATAATTCTCACCAACTCTTTCTCTAACATT